AAATTATAATACCAATAGGCAAAATAACCTAAATGATGTACCTATACTTTACAATATTACATTATTACTCATATTAATATTTAATTATTTATTGTTTATAAGTTTAAACCTATACCTACTTTTAGTTTATACTTCAATTTAAATAGGTACCTATAAATAAAGCTATATTCCAATATAAGATACATGATGTAATATATTATAATAAAGTGTAGGTACTTGGATAATTTATAATTTGTATTTATTTGAATAATATATAATATAATTATTGTACTTACCATCTATAATCATTTCTTTACTTAAATCATACAATCACTATTGAATATTTGTCCTATTTTTATGTCCAGCATGACGAGGGTTCCAAATCGGTTCTTTTAAAAAAACTGCTGCAGATAATTTTTCTGGATCAACCGACATGGTGTTTGGTGGACTTTTCAAAAGCGATTAATAGCAAGAAAAAAAACTATTTTGATTTATTTAAATGTGATTTTGTGATTTATCGTAAAACGCAAAACGGAATCGCAAAACGCAAAATCGCAAATTGCGTTCAGTGGGGCTGTAACCTTTGCACAGAACCGTTTATTCAATGTTTTTTTAGTAATTTAAGGGTAAAATCACCCAATGCAAAAAAAAGATCGAGATAACATTTTTGAGTTAATGACATATCGATTTGTCTAAATATTGTTTCAAAACAATTTAAACGTCAATTAAATTTACCAAATTTCTTTTGTTTATTTTGAAATTCGAATACTAAGTCAAATAACAAAATAAAATATAAAATCGATATTGTCATTCACTCTAAAATATTATTTTATATATTTTTTGTTATGGGTGATTTTGCTCTAAGATTACTTAAAAACACAGAAAAAATGATTCTGCGTCAATGCGTCTTGTCTATGTTGAAGGGCCAGAGAGAGAAACCAAATAGGCAATAGCCGACATCCTCTTAAGACTTTTTTCCTCTTCGTTCGCCGGCGTGCAATGCCGACGGGACGGGTGTCAGTGTTGTACATTCGCCGACGCCAAAGTTTCGCTCTGTTTTCGTCGTTTCCAACACTCCCGCCGTAACTTGGCACGTCTCTACCGTAGGTATTACCGCCGTTAACATTTCGACAGTTTTGTGGTAATGAGGTTATCATTGTCGTTTGTGAATATTGCGGTTTTTTCCTTTGTCTCCTTACCTCAAGTCCGCGGTTCGTTTTTTCATGACGCTTTTCGTACTTGAGTACTTTGGTCACCGTTACTACGAACGTATAGTACCCGTCGTTGGAAATCCGTGCTTACAGCTTCTGTATTGTGCGAGGGTGATTCGGCCACCGACATAATCTTTTCGTTATTATCGTCGATCCATAGGCTTGAAAAGGAATTTTCGGTAAGAGTGTGCAGAAGTATTTCACTTGGAGTTCCTCGACCTACCTACCTACCAACTACGATTCAGTCAGTAAGGTGCATAATATTATTGCCTCTATATTACTATAATATTAACACTTGGTTTATAATTTAAATATTTTAGACACTCTTTCTTAATGCTATTGTATAAAATGAAAACAATTATTAATTTACATTCACCTAATTTTACATTATATACATTTATGATGGTAATCTTCCACAGTGGCGTGGTGAACGGGGTCTTATGAATGTAATTTTCTTTTGTGGGGTATGGTGGTTGGATATATATTATGGTAACTATTAACATAAAACAAAAATTAAAATATTTACAGTACCTACCTACTGAAATATATGCTGGGCATCATGGTTTTTTGAATGTTGACCACGCCACTGATCATCCTTGTATACCAATAGTATTTTAAACTCAAAAATTGTTTCCTCCACTTCTCAATGAGCTTCAATTTCTTGCTCAATAAATATTGTCAGTTAGGCATCTTACTATAGTAAGATCCTACTCTATCCTACTGAATAGGTTCTATAACTGTAACCATCAGTGGCGTATATAGAAATAATTTTTGGGGTGGGCTATAGTAGGTAGAAACTAGCAAGTGATCTATTACTTAGAGGCTACTGTCTACTATATATTTAACAGTTGAAGGGTTATGGGGAAAAACGATAATAGTCAATACCTATTCCTAAAATGTTCAGTACTGCAGTTTTAAAGTGGAATTCTGGCCTTTTTTCCCTTTATGATAATATTTAAACCTGTATTATATTATTGACCGTGATCTTCTTTCCATAACTCGATTCACGTGTCGATTCGTTATGAAACTAACCAAAAGGTACTATAATTTTTTGATTTTTTCTTTCTTTTGACTATGATCGTTTTTCCCCATAACCCTTCAATTTTTATAAATATATTCGTATTTGTTGTTTTTCAACAGGCTGTGAAATATTATAACTTATAATAGTACCTAATAAAATATATTGTTGTTCTGTTTAAAAAGACTGTAATTTGAGGGGGGTGGCTGCAGCCCACTTGGCCCTCCCCCTATATACGCCACTGATAACTTTACCTATTGCCATATTGTGAGTATAAATACCTAGTGAGCAATGACTGGTTTGGTAGTAAATTCTTGTATCATTGTCATGTTACCACCTTTGTAACCATGTCGACTGCCATAAAACTGATGGCGTTCACACAGTAACGGGGTATAAGTTTAGTTTTACAGATAGTTTTACTCAAAGTTTTACTTATAATAAAAAAATAAATAAAAAGTGCTTGTGGGCACCTGGCAGTCAACATGTTAAATATATTTGCAAAGGTTCTCAATCGGTCTGTGCCATCCTTAGTTATCCAACTCAACCACTGAGTTATATTACTATTACTATTTCTCTTTGTATGTCATCTATTGGTGTAGTCTGATTTCAGTGCTTTCTATTTCTAGTTTCAATGAATTACCTACACTACCCAGTAAATATGTCAATGTTAATTATATGTCTGTTATATATCACTTATTAGATCAAAATATCCAATTTTGATGTTTAATAGATGCAGAGGCGGAACTAAGAATTTTTACACCCCGGGGAAAATATTAAAATTACGCCCAATATCATAGACCAAGATTGAAAATATAATATCATTCCCTACTATTGCACAGTGCCCTGGCAAAAGGAATAAGTCCATTTTTTTTTATTGAATATTCTTGTAGAATATTATAATCTACATCGATTGGCATTGGAAAATTAAACAAATTGTAGGTTAATTTTTTTATAAAACCTATGAGAAAAAAGGAATAAGTAATCAGTCATTGTACAAATATGAACGGGTTTTTTTAGTTTTCTCAAAACAGTGTTTTTATAATTATTCCCTTTTGCCCGGGCACCGTCCAATTGTGTACCTGGTGCATTATTTTTGACATCATTAACCAACAAGTAACATATCAACCTATATTAAAAATTTAAAAATGTGTAAGATCTATGTAGATATAAAAAGTTGGGAACCGCTGAACTTTAATGTATAAATATATACAGGTACATAATATGATCTAATAGTACATCTATGCTAATATTATAAAGAAGAAAATTGTTTGTTTGTTTGTTAGAGGTCATCTCTGAAACTAATTACCCGATTTAAAAAAAAATTTACTTCAAAAAGCTACTCTATCCTAAGGATGTATCGGCCATATTGAACCTCAATAAGTGACCCTTAATTTTTTAGATTCTGAAAGTACAATGATGTAATTCAAAATGAATAACCCTAGACACTTTAAATTTTCATCAAATGTTAAAATGACTATTTTCCATAGGTACATGGCAAAATTTTCATATAATTTTGACTCTTTTTGAGCTATTATAGCCATGAGAAATTTTTAAAATTTTGTTTTATTTTTCAGTTAAAAATTCATAAAAGATTTTCTTTGCATAGCTAAGATTAAAAATTTTAATAGAAGTATAACAAATATCTATAGTAAAAATAAAGAGTTTACTTTTTGAGCTATTTATAACCATTATAATTTTTTAAAACGTCAATTATTTTTCACTTAGAAATGCGTAAAAGTATAACTTTTAAGACTAACACAAAAAATTTTAATAGAGGGTTCCCAACAAATTTTTGTACCTCTATTAAAAAGAAAAGGCTAATCGGAAAGTCACACTTCTTATAGCCATGAGATATTTTTGCTTTTTATAATTTTATTTGTAACTATTAATTAATTTAATTTGACACAATGTCTCCGCTTAGAATCGTTTTTCGTATACAATGTTTTATCATTGAATTCAAATATAACACATTAATTACAATGATATGCTTGACAACTACTGTACAGCAGTGGGGTACCCACTTGTCCGCCTTTTTTTATTGCAAATTTAAGAATTTTTATAGCCGTGCAAATAATATATTACTTTTGTTTATTATAAGGTTGCTATTGGTTACAGAAATAAAATAGTGATAATAATTTATTTTAGATCTGTATTTTATACATAGGCAAAACCATCAAAATTACTGTTTAGTACACTTATTAGTAAAAATAGGTCTACAATATGATAAAAATATATCTACATTATGATATTATTTGAATGATACCTTCATAACTGCAATAAGCTATCTTCTACATCTAAATTACAGTGTTCCAATATTTTTACAGCACGTCCTATAAGACATAAAGTTTGAACTAAGGTAATTTTTTTTTGTTTCCTCCCAAAATTTAGAGTTGGCAGATATAAAAATAATATTATCTCTGATATTCAGTTAGATTAGTTTTTGAATAGAAACTGCTGAAGTAGGAAATGTAGTGTTGACACTAACTCATTTGTTTTTTGAATTTTTTTGCAATAAGTAGTATTTTATTGACAACCATGTGGTGATAGGATACAGATGGGGGTCTGGAAACTTTTGATTCTCGAAAAAGATTAATATTTGATAAATAAATTCATGAGTGAGTCGTAGTCTTGCTCGACACCTACTGTTCAACAGAGCGGTTACCTAGTTTTTTAATATTGTTTTATTTGTTCAATACTATTTCCTCGACTATTCCATAAAAATATTGATTTAAAAAAATTATTTTATTCTTAATACATTTAAAGTTTTAACATTTGTCAACAGTACTATAAAGATGCCGAAAAAAAATCCATTTGTCAACTGTAAGTCGCGTAAACGAAAGAGACTATTTTGCCCAAGTACTATGGTGAGATATGATAATGCATCCTACGCATATAATACCTTATGGGTATGTAAAATTTGCTTAAAATGCTTATTAAGCCGTGAAGCAGCAGAAGGACATGTGATCAATTGCAATACTCAAACCAAACAAAAAAAACCCAACTATAAAGTAATAATAGTACATCTAGTCTTGTTTTTTTTTATTAGTTATTTTCACACTTAATTTTGAAAAGTTAATTTATTTTTATTTTGTTCAGAAATGAAGAAAGCTTCTAACACACATTCAAACGTATGACAATGAACAAACATGTAGAAGAGCATGGAAGTACATTGATTTGATTTAATTTTAATTTTAATATACAATTTTTATATTAAAAATAAATGTAGAGTTGGATATTATTATGCGTTTTATTTTTATTTTTTTCATTTTTTGATAGTCAATTATCGATTGCTTATTAATTCAAAGTATTTTGTTAAGTATATTACAACTATAACTCTAACTATACCCATGACAAATTAAATAGGTATGTCAGCAACTCGTGATACGCATGTCTGTGACGTAAGCATTTCTCCAACTGGTTGAGCGGTGGAGTGGTGGTGGAGTCTTCGGCGGCGGCGGCTATTTCGGCAGTGACGGCGGTGGACCAATGAGAACTGGAGAAATGCTTACGTCACAGTACACAGCTGGGCGGAGGGTGGGTGCGCGATTTGTTTCTAAACTCGTAATATTGCTGACATACCTATTTAATTTGTCATGACTATACCTATATTTACCTTTGAACTATAGTATAAATGGGTTCAAATAATATTAAATTAATATTACAATTTTGATTTTCCTTATTATTGTACAACACCTACATTACTATTCAGCACACGATTATTTAATTTTGATTAAATAAACCTGTTGATATACTATTGTTATGATGTTACGTTCCTTAACTCTTTCAACACCATTGCCCCAGGAATTTTTAACTTTAATATCAACATCACTAAAACTATTGTTAGATTGTAAGTTGTAATTCTTATATCTTGCCCAGGTGGGATTTTATCCTGCTGGGGGCACGCTTGGACAAACTTCTAAATCGGGAGGGGAAATAAGAACGAACGAATATAAGAAAAAAAATCCACAAAGCTTTACCCAACTGTTGGATACAGCTGTTAAAAATAATAAATAATAATAAAAAAAATATAAAATTTGAAAGGTAATTATTATAATATTGATAAAGAGGTAAGCACCTGGATATTCCATAGCTTTTGTGTTTATACCTTTTGTTATTACTTATTACTTATATAATATCTGGTAAGTTGAATTAATATTATAAAATTACAACAAATGTTAGGTCCCTTGTATTACATTTTCAAGCTTTTTTACCCAACAAATAATATTGTATTGACATTTATAGAAAAGAATATTAAAAAAAAATGGAAACTGAAAATGTCTATGAACAGTTTGAAAATATGTTCGTGTATAGAAAAGGCTAATATAAACACCAGTTAAAATTTCATGTATCTAGGCTAATTTGTTTTAGAGTTAGACCAAAAACCAAAATAGATTTTGTGTAAAAATTGCCGTTTTTCCTTAATTTTTGTTTTAATTTTTAATTTTGACTCCAAAGTACCTACTAGATTCACTTTCCTATCAGAAAAGATACTGATGAAAAAAGTCTAAGCATTTTTTACTGTCCTTGAAAGGGGATGACCGATACAAAAAAAAAATATGTAATTAAATATGAATATAAAAATTCTTTCAAATCCTTTTTTTATTTGCATATAGTTAGTTATTCCTACTTAGTAATCACTATAACATGGTACTCTAGTAGGGATGAGCTTTCAAGGGTTTTACTGTAAAAAAAAAAGTGGTTACTGGTTAATTATCTGATATAAGAATAGGTATTATGTTTTTAGTTAATAAACAATTAAGAGTTTAAAAATGAAATCTTTGTGTGAATCAAATTTTAATTTAAACAGATGGCACCCTGGGATTGTAATATTTGAAGTTAGGAAACATGAAATCTAGTGAACAGAAAAAAGGAATTCAATTTCAAACATACAATTAGATATTCCATAAATTTATGTAATTGATATAAATATGAATTATTCAATTATATTTATTAAAATCTTTCAAAATTTACATGAGTATTTAAAATGTATTGTTTGAAAACAAATTGATAATTCGTGCAGTATTTATATCAAAACCATAAATATACAACAAACCATCACGACTAATATTTTATCGTTCAGAATGTCCGTTTAGACAACAAATAATAATCCTAGAAAATAAAGCATAATTAAAAATTGTAAATTTATCAATAACAGTAATTAAGTATGATTTTTTTTTTTTAGATTATACTAACTATGAGTTAAAATTAGTAACAAAAATCGGGTAAGTAGATGTCACTCTGATGTACAGTAGGTTACAAGAGCGTCAATGTATAATGGATTGTATTCAACATGAATTCAATAATATATCATTGTATAAGAAAAACGATTATGAGCGGAGACCATTTGCAAGTCTGAATTTTTTATATTATTATTACTTATTATAGCCTGTTAGTTGAATTAATATTATAATATTATTATTTTTATTCGTTGCTATGGTGATAAGCAAATTGTTAGAAATTATAAACCCATTTTTAGCGGTTTTTTGTAATTTGTATTTTGTTTTTCCCGTGGCATTAAATACTAATGAGAAAATCAAAAAATGACCTCTCTAAAGTCCCATCTTGATCCAATTTGCTAAAAGATAAGATACTAAATGTTGAAATCAAAGCACTCCATCTGGTAGAAATTTTGTATAAAGGATAAAAAAAAATACCATTGTAAAACCACTAGCTTCCTCGCTCCGCTCAGTATCAAAAATTGACTGAAAAACATAACCAATATTTATATAATAATACTAATAGTCATACCTATATAATAAAATACAATTTATAGGATCATGACTTTTGACACTAGAGAAAACTAATTTTAACAAATTAAACATTTAAAAATTGACTGAAAAACATAACCAATATGTATATAATAAAATACAATTTATAGTATCATGGCTTTTGACAATAGAGAAAACAAATTTTAACAAATTAAACATTTAAAAATTGACTGAAAAACATAACAAATATTATATAATAATAATAGTCATACCTATATAATAAAATACAATTTATAGAATCATGACTTTTGACACAAGAGAAAACAAATTTTAACAAATTAAACATTTAAAAATTGACTGAAAAACATAACCAATATTTATATAATAAAATACAATTTATAGTATCATAGCTTTTGACAGTAGAGAAAACAAATTTTAACAAATTAAACATTTAAAAATTGACTGAAAAACATAACAAATATTATATAATAATCAGGGCTCGTAAGTTCATGCATCTGCATGTTTTCTTTGCCACACAGGAAAACATGCTAACTGAGATACAAATCTGTTTCATAACAATAGTAATAATAATATGAAGTTTGATAGTGCATGTTTTTGCATGTTTTGGGTGTAAAGTCATATTTGGCATATAGTTGATTTTTTACAGTCGTTAGTGCATATTATTTCATAAAAATATTTTTTAGACAAATATTTTAAAAGTTTCTTCCGATTTTTGATATCTTGTTCCAATCATCCAATATCGCATGGTAAATTATAACGGTTTTTTAAATTTTTTATTGAGTAATTATTTATCTAATTAATAAAAATATCGAAAATCAGGCTTCTCACGATTATAAAAAAAGTTCTACTTTACAATTTTTATAATAGGTATTTTTACTGTAAACCACTCCAATAAGCCGTATTACTTGAATTACGAAACCATGGTTTTATGCCATATTTCGTCTACTAATGCGCCCTCTTGTTGGAAAACATAAAAAAAACACTTATAAAATATATATTACTAAATTATCTCAAAATGAAAAACCTAATATTTCATTCCAAATGTTTTCATTGTTGGTGCTGAATAAGGGTGTACACAAATTAGACTAAATTGACTACCTAATTAAAATTTATAAAGATGACAAAGCTATTTGAACTTCACAAGTATTAATTTTATTTTTTATTTTATTAATTTTGACTGTTAAATATATAAAAATTAAAAGGAATAAAATACTTTTAAAATGTATGGATTTATTCTTATTATTTTAAAATTGGTCATGTTTCTTTTACATAATGCATATTTTGAGTGCATAATTTAAAAATGTTAATGCATATAAATGCATATTTTTGAACTTTTAAGTGCATATTTTAATGCATATTTTGACAATTTTTAGTGCATGAATGCATGCTTATTTATGAATTTTTTAGTGCATGAAGTGTTACGAGCCCTGATAATAATAGTCATACCTATATAATAAAATACAATTTATAGTGTCATGGCTTTTGACAATAGAAAAAACAAATTTTAACAAATTAAACATTTAAAAATTGACTGAAAAACATAACAAATATTTATATAATAAAATACAATTTATAGTATCATGGCTTTTGACAATAGAGAAAACAAATTTTAACAAATTAAACATTTAAAAATTGACTGAAAAACATAATAAATATTTATTTAATAATAGTCATACCTATATAATAAAATACAATTTATAGAATCATGACTTTCGACACTAGAGAAACCAAATTATTTAACTAACAAATTATTTTTAAATACTGCCTTTGTAATTCCACTTGTTTTTCAATTGAATTACTTGGGACAGCATTTGCAACAGTATCGTTGATATTTGAATCTATAAAATAATATTGTTTTACAATTTACATATCTAATTTTAACATACATTTTATTACCAGATAAATTATCATCACTAGGTTCAATATTAAACTCCAAATATCCATTAGATGCAGCCACACATGTAATATTTGCTACTAGTGATTGTATCACTTTCAATGGCTCCAGGAATTTCACATGCTATATTTGAAAATTCATTGATCTATGCATTCTCTATGCATTCTTTCACCGCTGGTCCACCTCCAGTTCTCAAAATTGCTTGTTTATGTGAAGACATTGCAGACTTTATTTTTGTTTTGATGTTGTGCCAGTATTTCTTAACTTCACTTACAGTTCTCTATAAAATTAGTAAATAGTAAAAAAAAAGGAAAATTTGCTAATTTTACTATAGTCGACTACTAGACATGTACATAATATAAAATATAACTAAACTTTTGGAATTTCCATAAAAAAAACATATTATTTGTTATTCCAAAAAAATATAAATGAATAATAAAGTGTTAAAATAAAATATGTTAATTGTTTATAATTTAATA